TCCTTTCAATACAGTGACTCAGTATATTCTTTCCATCTTCTTTTAATACTTCCTGGATCATTTAATATTCTGCCTAAAGCATCCTTGATTATAGCAACTCCAGGTTTGAATTTGTTCTTTAGTTCCTTGAGCTTAAGAAATTCTGAGCTAGTTCGGCCCTTTTGATTTTCCAGCTCCAGCTCCTTGCATATTTCATTATATTTTTCTTTGTCATCCGTGCTGCCCTTTGGAATCTTCTGTTCAGCTCTTTAGTATCTGGAATTCTTCCTTGTGCTTTGGCTTCTCTCTGCTTTAGTGGAGAAGGACATCATGCTTGGAAATGTGGAGGGATGGTAAAAGAGAGGAAGACCCTCAACTGGATAAACTGACATAGTAGTGACTGCTGAAATGGGATTAAATATGTCAGAGATTATGAGGTTGGCAAAGGATAGGACAGAGTTTGTAGGACTGCTACTGCGTCATGCTCAACTTGACATCTAAAAATAGCAGAAATTATTTTATAAAACAAAATGTACACGAATGAAGCAAATGTGCAAAAATAATAGTATACAGTGAATGACAAAAAAATCTAAAACAACAAAAAAATCCAAACAAAAAATATGTCATATTTTAAAATATGTTGTTGTTACTGTGTATCATAGTTGGTACCGGCCCATAAATGATGCTCCAGCAGGTTTTCAGAGGCAGTTAATCGCACAGGAGGAGGTTGCCCATCCTTCTCCTGTAGAGAAGCTGGTGGCCTCGAACCACATGCCTTTGGGATTGCAACACATCTTCTTGCCACTAGGATACCAGATGGTAGGTATTCAGATATCTGTCCCATTATTTAGGTCTGAAACATTACATATATTTTAGGGCTTATAAATATGAAACCTATGAAATATTGTACTAAAAACCATTGAATGTTTGTTAATTTATAGGAGGAAAGTTAATCTTCAAATTTGGTTGTTGTTGTTCAGTAGAGTCATAGAGGACCCATAGCGGCCCTGTGAATGAAAGTCTTGAATGCAAAACTTTTCATCTTTTCTCCAAGTTCATAGAGGTTCTGGAGGCAAGCTTTTTTTGGAAGTGCATGACACTCCTGCTTCTAAGCTTGTTTGATTTGGGAGATCCACAAAAACCAGGCCCTCAGGCCCAAAAGCCTTTTTAAAGAGGCCAAATCTGATCAGTTCACACCCTATTGTGAGCAAAAGCCACACCCTAGTCTCAACTGCAAACAAGAAAAAACACCTTTGCAGAATCCAGGTTCTGCTCATCTTCCCTTCCTGGTAATATCCCCAGACTTGCAGCCAAAAGCTTTTTTAAAGATGAGGCCAAATCCAATCAGCTCACACCTTATTGCGAGCAAGAGCCACACCCTAGTCTCAACCCCAAATCAGAAAACCACTATATATATTACAAAGGTGATGTTAATAAAACTCTCCAATATCTTGGGATTCTATATTTGATTCAAAAGTAAAAATAAGCTTTAAAATGCTCGCTGAAACTGAGGAGGACCTCATGCACTTACTGCAGAGGGTCAAGGACTGCAGCCTTCACTATGGACTGAGGCTCAATGTCAAGAAGACAAAAATTCTCACCACCAGACCAATCGGTAGCATCAGGATGGATGGCGAAGAGATTGAGAGTGTTCACAGCTTCAGTTTGCTCGGCTCCACGGTCAACACTCT